GTTTCAGAATAAACACAGTGAAGAGCGTTCTGATTCACACGCAGACAGTGTCTTTCCTAGGTTTAACCCTAGATTCGGTATCATTCAAAGCTCGCCTTTCAGTGGAACGTATAACCTGGTCTCTTTCAAAACATGCCTGAGGCTGCTAGGTTTGATGGCATCAGCTTTAGTAGTCATCCCATTAGGATGCTTGAATATGAGAGGGTTTCAACGCTGGGTCTCGTCTCTAGGTCTGAGCCCAATACGTCACAAACATCACAGTGTACAGATCTTCATAGATTGCACGGTAGCACAGCACTCCTGGAGACACCTGACGTTTCTGTCACAGGGTGTCCAGATGGGCACTGTTTTATCCAGAAAAGTAGTCACGATGGACTAATCTCTCTCGGGTTGGGTTGTGACCCATGATGGCAGAACAGTGAACGGGGACCCCATCTCCGTTCTATTCACATAAACTGCCTGGAACTCCTTGCAGTGTTCCTAGCATTAAAGTAGTTTCTCCCATTTCTGGAGGGTCGTCATGTTCTATTCAGAACAGACAATACCACCGTTGTTGCTTACATAAACAGACAAGGGGGACTGCGATCCCCTCACTTACACACACTGGCACACAGACTGATTATGTGGAGCATTGTGCATCTCCAGTCACTGAGAGCGACTCATGTACCGGTAGGACTGAATCTGGGGGCAGATTTACTCTCCAGGGGGAAACCTGTATATGGGGAGTGGAAGCTCCACCCAGAGGTAGCCAATCAGGTTTGGATGCACTTCGGCATTCCAGCAGTGGATCTTTATGCATCGATGGAGAATACACAGGGTCCACTGTTCTTTTCCCTGAGGGATCGAGATGCACCGATGGGAGTGTACGCGTTGGCGCACGAGTGGCCACACGTCCTCCTGTATGCATTCCCCCCACTGGCCCTGATTTCCCCCACCCTAGCCAGGGTGCAGGAGAAGGGTCTGTCTCTCATACTAATAGTGCCACATTGGCCAGAGAAATACTGGCTAGCGGAGATCACTCAACTACTATGCGGTCAACCGTGGCCCCTCCCTCTGCATCAGGGCCTACTGTGCCAGGCGCACGGGGAGATTTTCCATCCTCACCCGGAACGGTTGGCACTCTGGGCCTGGCCTTTGAACGGTTAAACTCGAACACCACCAGGATTCCCCAAAATGTAAATTTGACTATTCAGAGTGCTAGAGCCTCATCCACCAGGTCCCTTTATGATTGCAAATGGCACGTGTCTGTGGAATGGTGCACTAAGTCACAGACACTGCCATTCCAGTGCTCTGTCCATGTAATCCTGTCATTTCTACAGGAATTATTAGACAAAGGAAAGGCTTTTTCTACTATTAAGGTATATCTGGCAGCTATTTCGGCTTGTCATGTGGGTTTTGGGAGCACGACAGTGGGGCAATACCCCCTCGTCTCCTGTTTTATAAAGGGTGCATGTCGTTTGCGTCCGGTGTCCAAACAGCTTGCCCTGTCATGGGACTTATCAGTTGTTTTGGATGCTCTGTACCAACATCCTTTTGAGCCCCTGAATCAGGTGGATCTGAAGATGCTTTTATTTAAGACAGCACTATTACTAGCACTGGCCTCCATCAAGAATTTAAGTGACATTCACGCACTCAGTGCACTCGTCATGTGCACAATTTGCACCAGGTAATGAGAGGGTATCATTGCGGCCTAACCCCGCCTTTATCCCTAAGATTATTAACCCATCTTTGATGTGTCTTCCCCTTGAGCTGGTAGCTTTTTATCCTCCACTGTTTTCCTCTCTGGAACATCAACGGTTGCATATGCTGTGCCCAGTACACGCTCTGCGCATCTACATGGACAGGACTGAGGGTTTAGAAAATGTGATCAGTTGTTTGTTTCCTGGGTTTGTTTCCTGGGCGAAACCTTACACGGGTAAAGTGCTCTCTAAACAGGGCCTCTCCCACTGTATAGTGGGGGCTATCGCTTTGGCCTACATAAGTAAGGGTCTTCTGTCTCCTGCTGGTCTACGGGCTCATTCCACTAGAGGAATGGCTACATCCTGGGCTTTATTTAAGGGCATATCTATCCAAGATACAGTTGAAGTCGGAAGTTTACATACACTTATGTTGGAGTCATTAAAACTAGTTTTTCAACCACTACACAAATGTATTGTTAACAAACTATAGTTTTGGCAAGTCTGTTAGGACATCTACTTTGTGCATGACACAAGTACATTTTTACAACAATTGTTTACAGACAGATTATTTAACTTATAATTCACTGTATCACAATTCCAGTGGGTCAGAAGTTTACTTACACTAAGTTGACTGTGCCTTTAAACAGCTTGGAAAATTCCAGAAAATGATGTCATGGCTTTAGAAGCTTCTGCTAGGCTAATTGACATAATTTGAGTCAATTGGAGATGTACCTGTGGATGTATTTCAAGGCCTACCTTCAAACTCAGTGCCTCTTTGCTTGACATCATGGGAAAATCAAAAGAAATCAGCCAAGACCTCAGATTTTTTTTTTTGTAGACCTCCACAAGTCTGGTTCATCCTTGGGAGCAATTTCCAAATGCCTGAAGGTACCACGTTCATCTGTACAAACAATAGTATGCAAGTATAAACACCATGGGACCACGCAGCCGTCATACCGCTCAGGAAATCAATCCCAGAACAACAGCAAAGGACCTTGTGAAGATGCTGGAAGAAACAGGTACAAAAGTATCTATATCCACAGTAAAACGAGTCCTATATCGACATAACCTGAAAGGCCACTCAGCAAGGCCAATGCTCCAAAACCGCCATAAAAAAGCCTGACTACGGTTTGCAACTGCACATGGGGACGAAGATCGTACTTTTTGGAGAAATGTCCTCTGGTCTGATGAAACAAAAATATAACTGTTTGGCCATAATGACCATCGTTATGTTTGGAGGAAAAAGGGGGTTACTTGCAAGCCGAAGAACACCATCCCAACGTGAAGCAAGGGGTGGAGGGCAGCATCATGCTGTGGGGGTGCTTTTCTGCAGGAGGGCCTGGTGCACTTCACAAAATAGATGGCATCATGAGGAAGGAAAATTGTGTGGATATATTGCAGCAACATCTCAAGACATCAGTCAGGAAGTTAAAGCTTGGTCGCAAATGGGTCTTCCAAATGGACAATTTCCCCAAGCATACTTCCAAAGTTGTGGCAAAATGGCTTAAGGACAACAAAGTCAAGGTATTGGAGTGGCCATCACAAAGCCTTGACCTCAATCCTATAGAAAATGTGTGGGCAGAACTGAAAAAGCGTGTGCAAGCAAGGAGGCCTACAAATCTGACTCAGTTACACCAGCTCTGTCAGGAGGAATGGGCCAAAATTCACCCAACTTATTGTGGGAAGCTTGTGGAAGGCTACCAGAAACGTTTGACCCAAGTTAAACAATTTAAAGGAAATGCTACCAAATACTACTTGAGTGTATGTAAACTTCTGACCCACTTGGAATGTGATGAAAGAAATAAAAGCTGGTATAAATCATTCTCTACTATAATTCTGACATTTCAAGTTCTTAAAATAAAGTGGTGATCCTAACTGACCTAAAACAGGGAATTTTTACTAGGATTAAATGTCAGGAATTGTGAAAAACTGAGTTTAAATGCATTTGGCTAAGGTGTATGTTAACTTCTGACTTCAACTGTATCTGCTCAGCAGCGAGTTGGGCTTTGCCTCATACATTTGCAAAGTTTTATTGGCTCGATTTCACTGCACCGACCCTGGCGCATACTGTTTTACGTGTCGGATCTTCTGAGGGGCAAGGCCCATTTGTGTGATATATCGCACAGGATAGACGGTCGTCAGGATAAGCTTGTCTGGCAATACGGGAGTCAGTATATCCCATAAGTGAAATACCGAAACAAATTCTTAAAAGAGAACTTTAGGTTACGACCGTAACCCCGGTTTTCTGATAGTATGAGTGAGGTATTTCACCAGACCACCCTCAGAAGAGGTGTTGCTAATTTTGAATGACTCAGACGCTGCGTGGGATCTTTTTTATAGGGTAGGAAGGACACCCTTCTCAAGTCCAGCCAGTCATGGCTGGCGTAGTGTAATAAAGGCTTCTGACAAATACACTGGGAGCATATCCCATAAGTGAAATACCTCACTCATACTATCAGAGAACCGGGGTTACGGTCGTAACCTAACGTTTTTGATTTTGCATATAACCACCAGAGGGCATCAGCGGCCACAGGTTCACGTCGATGATGCCGTCTCTTTGACAAACTTTCAAAAAAATGTGTTAATACCTAGCAAATGATGTAAATGAACACCCAGTCAATTGCATTTATACTTCTATGTTACAACTGATGCATGGGTTAAAATATCATTTATTTTATCATGAAAATTGAGCTGTAGAAAAGACGTAGACACGTCGCGCGTGCGCAGAACGAGGCGACAAAATGTCAAAACCGTCCGAATGAGATTGGTCGCAATCTAATTTTGAAGATATGTTGCTCACTTCAACGAGAGGAAGGATAATAGCCAGATGCTAGCTAGGCAGTAAACTCTCCTATTAATCAACACAGTCAATAGGGAAAGTTTGTCAAGCATCCCGATAAGTGACAATTCGTGATGTATAGTTAACGTTAACTGTCTAGAAAAGAAAAGTAAAAGGTAGCTAGCTCGTACTGTTGTTTGCGTGTTTAGATGGATAGCTAGCTAGCTAGCTAACTTTAGCCGTTGTTCTGCGTGACCTGTCTGTCAAGTAACTAACCTTAACCAGCTATTTTACTACTAACAAGTTCTTCTCTACAGCTAAAGCATCTCAAACTAGCTAGCTATTAGCTAGTAACTTAGTTAACGTTACTATGTAGCTATCCAGCTAATAGGTATAACGTTAGCTAACTAAACATTCAGCTAACTACCTGGTTTAGCACTGGCTAAACACATTAACTACTAGCTGGCTAGCTAGTCTACGGCCTTGACTCGGCTTGACAGGTGCTAATTTAATGCCACAATAAAATCAGGCTAGTAACAACGATGTCTCGCAGGCGGCTTGACAGCCGCAATGGACCTACTGGGCTACTTGGAGAAATTCAAACCCATATCAATACGGAACCGATGGACAGTGTTTATGAAATCACTGGCGAGTTGGGCAGGTGAGCCAATGTTACAATGTCCCCTTTTCAAACTTTCTCATTCCATCATTCTCTTCTCGCACATCTTACGACTCCAATGCATTCCATTGGCCTTTTGGATCCTCGAGAGCTAACGTTAGTGAGCTAAAACGTACTCACATCATCCTAGTTAGGCTGGATATCATCTTTAGCTATAACATAGTTAGCTATAACATATGTCTCCCTCTATATCAAATCTAATTGTATTTGTCACATGCTTCGTAAACAACAGGTGTAGACTAACAGTGAAATGCTTACTTATGGGCCCAACCCAACAATGCATAGAGTGGGAAAAAATGAAATAATAGAAAAATAATAAACCGAGGAGTAAATACACAATGAGTATACAAGGGGTAGCAGTACCAAGTCGATGTGCAGGGGTACGAGGTAATTGAGGTAGAAATGTACATATATTCAGTAGGTACAGTGAGGGAAAAAAGTATTTGATCCCCTGCTGATTTTGTATGTTTGCCCACTGACAAAGAAATGATCAGTCTATAATTTTAATGGTAGGTTTATTTGAACAGTGAGAGACAGAATAACAACAACAAAATCCAGAAAAACGCATGTCAAAAATGTAATAAATTGATTTGCATTTTAATGAGGGAAATAATTATTTGACCCCCTCTCAATCAGAAAGATTTCTGGCTCCCAGGTGTCTTTTTATACAGGTAACGAGCTGAGATTAGGAGCACACTCTTAAAGGGAGTGCTCCTAATCTCATATTGTTACCTGTATAAAAGACACCTGTCCACAGAAATCAATCAATCAGATTCCAAACTCTCCACCATGGCCAAGACCAAGAATGTCAGGGACAAGATTGTAGACCTACACAAGGCTGGAATGGGCTACAAGTCCTTCGCCAAGCAGCTTGGTGAGAAGGTGACAACAGTTGGTGCGATTGTTTGCAAATGGAAGGAACACAAAATAACTGTCTATCTCCCTCGGCATGGGGCTCCATGCAATATCTCACCTCGTGGAGTTGTAATGATCATGAGAACAGTGAGGAATCAGCCCAGAACTACACGGGAGGATCTTGTCAATGATCTCAAGGCAGCTGGGACCATAGTCACCAAGAAAACAATTGGTAAAACACTACGCCGTGAAGGACTGAAATCCTGCAGCGCCCGCAAGGTCCCCCTGCTCAAGAAAGCACATATACAGGCCCGTCTGAAGTTTGCCAATGAACATCTGAATGATTCAGAGGAGATTTGGGTGAAAGTGTTGTGGTCAGATGAGACCAAAATGGAGCTCTTTGGCATCAACTCAACTCGCCGTGTTTGGAGGAGGAGGAATGCTGCCTATGACCCCAAGAACACCATCCCCACTGTCAAACATGGAGGTGGAAACATTATGCTTTGGGGGTGTTTTTAAACAGGTCAACATTCACAAGACAGCGGTGCCAGACGAATTACCAGGAAGTGTTCTCAGAGCATGCGCGGACCAACTGGCAAGTGTCTTCACTGACATTTTCAACCTATCCCTGACTGTGTCTGTAATACCTACATGTTTCAAGCAGACCACCATAGTCCCTGTGCCCAAGAAAGAGAAGGTAACCTGCCTAAATGACTACCGCCCCTTAGCACTCAAGTCGGTAGCCATGAAGTGCTTTGAAAGGCTGGTCATGGCTCACATCAACATCATCATCCCGAAAACCCTAGACCCACTCCAATTTGCATACTGCCCCAACAGATCCACAGATGACACAATCTCAATCGCACTCCACACTGCCCTTTTCTACCTGGACAAATGGAACACCTATGTGAGAATGCTGTTCATTGACTACAGCTCAGCGTTCAACACCATAGTGTCCACCAAGCTCATCACAAAGCTAAGGACCCTGGGACTAAACACCTCCCTCTGCAACTGGATACTGGACTTCCTGACAGGCTGCCCCCAGGTGGTAAGGGTAGGCAACAACACATCTGTTATGCTGATCCTCAACACGGGGTCCCCTCAGGGGTGTGTGCTTAGTCCCCTCCTGTACTTCCTGTTCGCCCACGAGTGCGTGGCCAAGTTCGACTCCAACACCATCAAGTTTGCTGACGACACAACGGTGGTAGGCCTGATCGCCAACAAGACAGGCTATAGGGAGGAGGTCAGAGACCTGGCAGTGTGGTGCCAGGACAACAACCTCTCCCTCAACGTGAGGAAGACAAATGAGATGATCGTGGACTACAGGAAAAGGAGGGCCGAACATGCCCCCATTCACATCGAAGGGGCTGTAGTCGAGTGGGTTGAGAGTTTCAAGTTCCTTGGTGTCCACATCACCAAAAAACGATGATGGTCCAAACACACCACGAAAGTCGTGAAGAGGGCACAACACCTTTTCCCCCTCAGGAGACTCAAAATATTTGGCATGGGTCCCCAGATCCTCAAAAAGTTATACAGCTGCCCCATCGAGAGCATCCTGACCGGTGATGGCAACTGCTCGGCATCTGACCGTAAGGCGCTACAGAGGGTAGTGGGTACAGCCCAGTACATCATTGGAGCCAAGCTTCCTGCCATCCATGACCTATATACTAGGCGGTGTCAGAGGAAGGCCCCAAAAATAGTCAGACTCCAGTCACCCAAGTCATAGACTGATCTCTCTGCTACCACACGGCAAGCAGTACCGGAGCACCAAGTCTAGGTCCAAAAGGCTCCTTAACAGCTTCTACCCCCAAGCCATACGACTGCTGAACAATTAATAAAATGGCCACCCGGACTATTTACGTTGACACCCTTCCTGCTTAGTTTTTACACTGCTGCTACTCGCTGTTTATTATCTATGCATAGTCACTTTACCCCTACCTACATGTACAAATTACCTCGACTAACCTGTACCCCCGCACATTGACTCGGTACCATTACCCCCCTGTATATAGCCTCATTATTGTTCTATATTTTGAGAATTTTTTTTACTGACCCCTGTCAATACACAACTGGACACACCTGCTCCCATTTTCTTACGTTGTGCTATTTATAAACAAACACGTGACTGGCTCAACTGTTCTGGGGGAACTACAGTAAGCTTCATAATGTAAAATAATGTGACAAGGTGAAATGAAGAACGCAATCTGCTTTATCTCCTAATGTATTGCACAAGTTGACTGCAGGTATTTACTTAAAGTTGCTACAAATATAAACATTTATTGAAAAACGTAAGAAATAGTTTCAGCGGTATTGGGAAAAACCATCCTGTGGCTATTTCGAAATTACCCTGGTATACGGTATACCGCCCAAGCCTTGTACAAACACTCAAACGAAAGGCTATAAGGTGAAACCACACAAACACTCAAACTGGAAACGGCACAGAATGCATTGTGTGGCATATACAGTTGAAGTCGGAAGTTTACATACACTTAGGTTGGAGTCATTAAAACTCGTTTTTCAACCACTCCACAAATTTCTTGTTAACAAACTATAGTTTTGGCAAGTCGGTTAGGACATCTACTTTGTGCATGACACAAGTAATTTTTCCAACAATTGTTTACAGACAGATTATTTCAGTTATAATTCATTGTATCACAATTCCAGTGGGTCAGAAGTTTACATACACTAAGTTGACTGTGCCTTTAAACAGCTTGGAAAATTCCAGAAAATGATGTCATGGCTTTAGAAGCTTCTGATAGGCTAATTGACATCATTTGAGTCCATTGGAGATGTACCTGTGGATGTATTTCAAGGCCTACCTTCAAACTCAGTGCCTCTTTGCTTGACATCATGGGAAAACCAAAAGACATCAGCCAAGACCTCAGAAAAGAAATTGTAGACCTCCACAAGTCTGGTTCATCCTTGGGAGCAATTTCCAAATGCCTGAAGGGACCACGTTCATCTGTACATACAATAGTACGCAAGTATAAACACCATGGGACCACGCAGCCGTCATAACGCTCAGGATGGAGACGCGTTCTGTCTCCTAGAGATGAACGTACTTTGGTGCAAAAGTGCAAATCAATCCCAGAACAACAGCAAAGGACCTTGTGAAGATGCTGGAGGAAACAGGTACTAAAGTATTTACATCCACAGTAAAACAAGTCCTATATCGACATAACCTGAAAGGCCGCACAGCAAGGAAGAAGCCACTGCTCCAAAACCAGCATAAAAAAGCCAGACTACAGCTTGCAACTGCACATGGGGACAAAGATTGTAGTTTTTCGAGAAATGTCCTCTAATCTGATGAAACAAAAATAGAACTGTTTGGCCATAATGACCATCGTTATATTTGGAGGAAAAAGGGGGATGTTTGCAAGCCAAACAACACCCTCCCAACCGTGAAGCACGGGGGTGGCAGCGCCATGTGGTCCGGGTGCACTTCACAAAATAGATGGCATCATGAGGAAGGAAAATGATGTGGATATATTGAAGCAACATCTCAAGACATCAGTCAGGAAGTTAAATCTTGGTCGCAAATGGTTCTTCCAAATGGACAATGACCCCAAGCATACTTCCAAAGTTGTGGCAAAATGGCTTAAGGACAACAAAGTCAAGGTATTGGAGTGGCCATCACAAAGCCCTGACCTCAATCCTATAGAACATTTGTGGGAAGAACTGAAAAAGCGTGTGCGAGCAAGGAGGCCTACAAACCTGACTCAGTTACACCAGCTCTGTCAGGAGGAATGGACCAGAATTCACCCAACTTATTGTGGGAAGCTTGTGGAAGGCTACCAGAAACGTTTGACCCAAGTTAAACAATTTAAAGGCAAGGCTACCAAATACTAATTGAGTGTATGTAAACTTCTGACCCACTGGGAATGTGATGAAAGAAATAAAAGCTGAAAATAAATCATTCTCTCTACTATTATTCTGACATTTCACATTCTTAAAATAAAGTGGTGAACCTAACTGACCTATGACAAGGAATTTTTACTATGATTAAATGTCAGGAATTGTGAAAAACTGAGTTTAAATGTATTTGGCTAAAGTGTATGTTAACTTCTGACTTCAACTGTAAGTGTCGCAACTGAGTGATGAAAAAGTCTGCCCTTTTAGTGTCCATGGCAGACTCGTTGGCAGTGTGAAGGAGAGATGTTGACTGCAGTATGTCCACACACAGATGTGTAGGCATAAAAGGTCTGTTTTCAAACCTACTGTCAGTCCACTTTTTTTCAGTCCACCATATAAGGTAGGCTACAGCTGATCTGGTGCCTTGACAGTCATGAACTGTCGGCATTTGTGTAGACCTATGCCACAGTTTCCAATCAGATTGGGACTGTAAATTCTCAGTCCTCACACATCAATGCAGTTCTGGTGTCAACAGTTAGGGATATGCATGGTATGGGGAGTACTTTGAGTTGCCTTTTTAGATAGCAAAGCATGTTGTTTTAAGCTTAGGCTATGGTTAGGCCTAGGCTAGTGATGACTTGAGCAAAATGTGTGAACTCTTGGACAATGTGAAATGTAAAATTATTGCATAAAGAGTTTGTAGGCCTAATGCATTTACAATCAAGTAAAGAAATAAAGAACGCATAGGGTAAGGTAATGACTAGGCTAACCATTACCACCAAGGCCTAAAATAAATGTTTTGGTCCACCAGCCACTGTGGCAAGGTAAATTAAAAAATCTACCAGCCACTCAGATTTTTTACCAGCCCAAATATTTTTTTTCTACAAAGATTACACCAACAAAGCACAAAAAGGCGGATGAGCATGCTTTGTAATGTTTCTAAAACAATACATTTATTACTAGTAATAAGTAATGTTGTGTATTGTTTAATTTCATTTCATTTTTTGTGACCTGAGTCTTTTAACCAAAATATCACAGATGAGACAATTTACACCTGCCCCTTTAAGCGTGGGAGGTTATGTAGTAATGCAACTCGAGTCATGTTTGTGCCTGTGAGATTGAGTCTGACTAGTAGCAGTGTCTTTTCCCTAGCAGTTGAAACTCAAACATTGGAAAACAACCTAACTTGTGAACAAAACAATGTAAATAGCCAAGAAACACAAGGGCCAAGTCTCACTTCAGTAGACTTTCGTGTCAAGTAAATTAGACCAACGTTTATGCCTAAAAATGAATCTTTCACTTAGCTCTTCACGTGCGCGCAGCCAGGCAGTGTTGCAACCCAAGGTGCGATAGTCTATATAGGATTCATAGTTATTTGACTTTGTGCAATTAAGTTATGAAACAAAACAGCAGAAATACTTTGAAAACAGCTACTGCAGCAGTTATTTTACTATAAATGCCAACGTGGCTGATGAAATAGACATCTTACCCGCCAATGCAAAAATCTATCCATGTGGCAGGTGTTCATTTTAGACCCTGATTACCACACAACATATTGTGTGTTGTTATGGGAGGGTGTGGGTATGGAGTGGCCTCATTTTAACCCTTTTCACACTACTGAGCCAAGCTATAGGCTTACTGAGCTGGCCGGGTTATGCATCCACCTACTTGTTGTAACGGTGCTTGACAGACAAATGTGAGAAAAAAATATCAAAGCCGGCACAGTACGGTTTGGTTGGCAGTGCACTATGTGGTTGTCCTACTGTTGATGATTGAACTGCCTGTAAGTCACTCTAGATAAATAATAATATATGCAGACGCTTTTATCCAAAGCGAAATATAATGTTTGTGTAAATGTACATATTAACTGATGTCATATTGTAACAAAGTTGTCTCCTTCAGTGTAGACTAAAATGACCCAGATAGTGTGTGATGAATGACTCGGCCCTCCCTCCCTTCGTCCTCGGTGCCAGGGGGAAATTTGCGGTGGTGAAGCGGTGCGTGGAGAGGTCCACGGGGAAGGTGTTTGCCGCCAAGTTCCTGCGGAAGCGGCGGCGGGGCAGAGACTGCCGGGCCGAGGTGGTACACGAGATGGCCGTGCTGGAGGCGGCCCGCAACAACCCTCGCGTGGTTAACCTGCACGCTGCCTACGAGACAGACCACGACATCGTCCTGCTGCTGGAATAGTGAGTTATGGGCAACTTCTAGATTGCACTCAATGCTATCAGTTCAATCAGTAACCCATCTTTCAAATATGTTACTTATGTATGTTTCTCCATTTTTTGTTCTCCATATCTTTGTACATGACAGAGGTTATTTAACGTTTCTCATATCTGAGACGGTATAATGTGTGATTATACTTTGAACTTTATTGGAATCGGTACTCCTTTACACCGAATCCAACAAAACAGAAACTAGAATGCAGGTTGTAGATAGGCTGCAATCCACATTCTGTGCTTAAAGGGATACTTCAGGATTTTGGCAATGAGGCCCATTATCTACTTCCTCAGAGTCCGATGAACTCGTTGATACCATTATTATGTCTGCGTGCAGTTTGAAGAAAGTTGCTAACTAGCGCTAGCGCAATACTAACTAGCATTAGCGCAATGCCTGGAAGTCTATGGGTATTTGCCAGCATGCTAGCAGATACCCATAGACTTCCAGTCATTGCGCAAAACTACCTATAACTTCCTTAATACTGGAGACGGAGACATAAAAATGGTATCTACAAGTTCATCTGACACTGGGGAAGTAGATAAGTTGGAGATTGCTGTTGTTCCTAAACCCTACCCTTAGCAGTCTTGTATATTCTGAGAGCCAATAGACATGTTTCATTGAGTTTTGAGGAAAGCCTTTCAAATCCTGCCCTGAAAGCGAAGTGCCGTGTAAACTCTGAAAGGGGAAGGCCATTCCATTGGAAGTACCCAATTATCTGTTGCCTGACCTGAAATGATATGAAACAGGCTTATACACTCAGCTGAGTCAAAACCACCTAGGTTTTATGGATGCAATCATGCAAAAAAGTTTTACGATAGTTTGTGTTAGACACTGTGACAGTCTCTCTGTGTGTGTGAGACAGTGCGGCGGGGGGTGAGATCTTTGACCACTGTGACTGTGATGAGCTGCTCCCAGAGGGCCAGATCACACGGCTGATCAGACAGACGCTGGAGGGCGTCCACCTTCTCCACCAGACCAGCGTGGTGCACCTGGACCTCAAGGTCTGTCCCTCCACATCTCTTAATACACACACACAGATAGACTAGTATATAAACAGAAGTGCACTGCCCACAAACACATACAACAAACACATGTACATAAACCTAAAATTCACCTCTCAACCCTATTTGCTCCCTTATTCATCTTTACATCACCACTTGCGTATTTTCCCTATAAACATGATCTCATGCAGGAAGGATTGTGAATGACTGGACCTGCTGTATACAGCTTTATTATTACACTGCACAACTTTTAAGTCACCCTTTTTGACTACTCACCCAATCCCTCCCTCTTTCTTTCAGCCCCAGAACATCCTACTGACCAGCCTGGCTCCGCTGGGGGACATAAAGATTGTGGACTTTGGCCTGGCACGCAAACTGGGCACGGTCGGAGAGCTCCGAGAGATCTTGGGCACGCCTGAGTACGTGGGTAAGGCAATGTAACATACCTCCAACGTTCCTTCAACTAGCTGCAATTAAGTCTTGACATTCTACAATAACAATGTTGTGATGTAATGATATGGCCTCTCTCTCTTTCTCCCTTTTCTCACATAAGCTCCAGAGATCCTGAACTATGAGCCTATCACAACGGCAACTGACCTGTGGTGAGTCATCACTATTAACACTATAAACTCTTTTGACTGTGTATATGTTGATGTATGTGCGTGCCTGCCTGAGGCACTTGTGTGAAGTGTGTATGTTTGCAGGTCAACACGTGTACACCCTCTGACACATTTGTACTAACTGTATTCTGGGTGTGTGTGTTATGTATTTTTCAGGAGTGTGGGAGTGATCGCCTACATGCTGGTGACGGGCGAGTCTCCGTTTGCAGGGGATGACAAGCAGGAGACGTACCTGAACGTGTCCCAGGTCAATGTGGACTACAGCCAAGAGGCCTTCTCCAGGGTGTCGGAGCTCGCCGTCGACTTCATCCGCAAGCTGCTGGTCAAAACTCCAGAGTAAGTGGGACTATCACCAGCCAGTAAAGGTTCAGGGAATTGTAATGGTAGTTGAAGTACTGCTACTGACAGGAAGCGGTAGAACAAATTGTGTTCAGCAATACAAATTATAATAAATAATTTTGTTTTTGTGCTTACTAAACATTTTCTGTTTTCATTTCAAATAATTGGTTTTGACCCTTGTCCGTCTTCACGCTCTCCACACAGGGACAGGCCCAGTGCAGCTGACTGCATGACCCACCCCTGGCTGTGGCAGCAGCATCAATACCCAAGTACCGAGCCTGTCCTGCCACGAACCCCCCGTGAGAGGAGCAGCGGTACCAAGTGGGCCGCCCCACCCGAGGACCCAGAGGACAAGGAGAACTTCACCTTGGACTCGCCCCACACCCAGGCCAAGAGGTTTCGCTTCGAGGAGGAGACACCCGCTGCCACCAATGGTGGTGACGGGGACTTCTGAGGGGGAAAGAGCGACGCAAGCGCACCCCTCCCACAAGCTCCCATTTTGCTTTTATTGGTTTTATGCAGCAAGGAACCTGCCGGCAACAGTGTCGCCTACCCAAGAGCGCTTCTGTTCTGTTCTAGTGCTCGCTTGTATCCAAGAGCGCCCAGCCAAACCAAAGATAACCAGCTTCCATTGTGATCTAACGTCAATTCGTCACTGTTTCTATGTGTAGTTTGTGTTTCTAAATAATGCATTGATTTAAGAGTTGATTTAAGATAAGTCATGTATTTTATTGTGAGCTGTTTTGGTCCTTTCCAGTGTATTGTCTTTGTTTTGTCGGGTATGTTTTGTCCCGGAATTTAGAGAATATGCGGCCAGATATATCTCAAGGGAAATCTATGCAATACTGTTTTGCCACAAGTAACTTTTAAAGGAGACATTTAAATAGTCAACAAATTATTACGTGATAATTTTTGCCAGAAAGGCAGTAAGTGGTCGTAAAAGTGTTCTTAGTATTTCGTGAGAAAATCATCCGACAGAACACCAAACTGTGCAGATATGAGCTAAATCAGTCTATTTAAGGAAGTGAAAGTAAAGTATGTCCTCACACTATGTCCTTGTTTGCCTGACCCAAGCTGTACATTACCTCCCTACTCTCAAACAAGCTTACGCACATTATATTCCATCTGTGACATTCTCTTGTCTTGCTCTCCAGCACTCTACAACACGCCACATCTGAAAGCACAGTATGATGTTGTCTTAGACATGTTGTCTATGCACAGTACCCGGCCCTGGCCTGCATAATTAGTAAGCCAACAAGTCACACTGGTGTCTGTTTATTACACACACAGTTTACTGTTAACCCCAACTCTTCCTCTGGTTTACAATTAAACAATAATAGAGATTTAAGAGGGTTCTGTAAAAAGGTGACTCATGGACAGTTCATACACCACTCCCATGCTTACTCAAATGTGTTTCTTCAAACGTTGTCAGTTCCTCTTTAGTCATTTGCTTAGGGGAACTGTGACTGAAGCATTTAACTATTTATCTTCTGGGTATTTCATTGATTACTTAACTGGAAAATTACTATGCCCTATGAAGAGATGTTTTTAATTCCATGTTTTCTTTTGTGTAACTTGAACACAGTGTATTTCCTGATATTCACTGAAGTCATTTAATCTGCATTCCTTTAATTGGCATTAAAAAGCTACTGTTTTTTTATGGCTAGGAACCCTTTCAAGTTTAATGGGAGTCGGGTATATTTGGGAATCATAACAGATTGTCTGTGTATGAAGGCGAGTTCATTTTCCTTCCTATCCCTATGTTCATTCAATTTCCTTCTCATCTCAGGGAAAATTACCTTTCACTTTGGTCGTAACTATTGTGTGCCTTTTTATATTCTAACATGATTCTCAATATGTTTATATAATGGGATGGTGTTTTGTTTAGATTTAGATGTACATATGTGTATGTGCTGTATTTAACTGGATTCAGATGGGTTTATTAAGAAGATACGGGTTGTATGGGATATAGTATTGATGGCATCTCTTAACAAAAAGCTGTTTTGGTAACGGAGGTGACATGAAATTGAAATATGCTTTGGTTGTGAAGTGGTGAATGTGGGATATACATGAAAGGTTTGGAAAAGTGATTAGAGATGGATTTTGGATTTAGAAGAGAAAAATATTGTTTCGGTTATGAGGAAAGGGTATGATGACATTGAGATGGTTACAGAGGAAGATAAAATATTTTTGATTACGGAAGTGATGTGGGTAAAGGTTATGGAGTTGATGGGATAAAATGTGGACAGAAACCTTTTGGTAATGCAGTCGATAAAGAAGAGAAAGGTTTAGACAGATTATATTTGTACAGTATTACCAGCAGGATGAATGGAAGTGCTCTGTTGAGCATGCATTCCCCATCAATCTGTGAAAGAATAACCCATACTGAAGAAATTCTCATTGAAACTGGAGTGTTATGAAGCCTAACTGCCAGCAGCCCTCAGCTGAACATGTCGCTTTGTTCAAGGAGGTGCAAAGACTACATATCCTTGTTTGTTGTGGTCCTCAAGGTTTCCCAGAGATGTCACCGGCCTGGCACACACAATAGCCTTTTTCTTCGAGAGGGCTGTCTCCAGTCACGGCCATGCTCTCACTGTATGCTGTCATCCTAAAGGAGAACTGGAACACCAATACGTCATTAGTGAGTGGTTCAAAGACAGACACTTAAATGAAAACCAGACGTTCGAAGGTACTGCTGACACCAGTCGGCACAAAGTGGACCTGTACAACTTGATTATATTTGTAAGATCTCCACTGCTGATTTCATTTTGTATGGCTGTCTGAATTTACTTTTAGATACAGATGCTAGTCAAGTGAGCCGTGTGTTCTCTGGGGACAAAGGTGGCCAGTTTGCACTCTTCACATTCCTGTAGTGAGATCTTCTCCCACTTTACCAGGGTAATACTGAAGGAAACGTCTGAGTCAAACTAATACCATTTAGAAGCACAAGCAATAACCCTTAAAGATGTTTATTTCGCATTTGATAGATTTGTAGGTATATTCCGTTTGCATTTGAAATGATCCATTCTAAAAACAATGTAAAATCCCTTTGTATTTTCTGATCAACATCAATCTAATATTTAGGTGTCATTAGCAAACGGGAATGCTCATTAAAGATGATAGAAAACCTACATGGTGGATGGAGTCTGGTCTTTTTACACTACTGCACAAAGCCCTGAGTCTGATGTTGTCAACTGTTGTTTTTTCTACATTTTGTCTTGTCTTATCTCAGTGGGTCCCCTCTCAGGTGCGAAGACCACAAGAAACATTTGTGGACAACACCTGCAGAGACTGGTCTTAAAACAGAGGAACTACCAGCGGCCATGAACAACAGAGAGCTAAGGCATGCCATCATCCAACGCATTGTGCTGCCAAAAGCAAGTAAGCAATTATATCCATTCTGCCATCTACTGATGAGGAAACATTGCCTCCTAGTGCTGATGGGAATGTGCCATGTTTTATATATATATATATATATATAAAGCCTAATCACCTTTTAAGTAATACAAAAAAAATAAGGGGTTGATTTCGGTTGATTTGGCAATTACATTGACAATTGCACACATGCCCCCATCACTCCCATTGACTCCTTTCAGGATGAGGCACCATCAATTTGTAAAATCCTGAACTTCCCCTCTAAGCTCCATTTAAAACTAATCCATTGTTACTTATCCATTTTGGATGCACAAGTTGTAAGGACATAGCTAGCTACAGGTGTTTGTAATGACCGTATGTTAATTATAAGTTAACATTTACTACATCGATATACAATATATATACAACAGTATGTGGACACCTCCTTCAATTGAGTGAATTTGGCTATTTCAGCCACACCCGTTGCAGACAGGTGTATAAAATTGAGCACACAGCCATGCCATGAACAGCTCCGTGACTTTCAACGTGGCACCGTCATAGGATGCCACCTTTCCAACAAGTCAGTTTGTCAAATTTCTGCCATGCTAGAGCTGCCCTGGTCAACTGTAAGTGCTGTTATTGTGAAGTGGAAACGTCTAGGAGCAACAAAGGCTCAGCCGCAAAGTGGTAGGCCACACAAGCTCACAGAATGGGACCACCGAGTGCTGAAGCACGTAAGAATTGTCTGTCCTCGGTTGCAACACTCACTATCGAGTTCCAAACTGCCTCTGGAAGCAACGTCAGCTCAAGAACTGTTAGTCGGAGCTTCATGAAATGTGTTTGCATGGCCGAGCAGCCGCACACAAGTCTTAAGATCACCATGCGCAATGCCAAGTGTCGGCTGGAGTGGTGTAAAGCTCAACACCATTGGACTCTGGAGCAGTTGAAACGCGTTCTCTGGAGGGATGAATCACGCTTCACCATCTGACAGTCCGACGGACAAATCTGGGTTTGGCGGATGCCAGGAGAACGCTACATGCCCGAATGCATAGTGCCAACTGTAAAGTTTGGTGAAGGAGGAATAATGGTCTGGGGTTGTTTTTCATGGTTCGGGCTAGGCCCCTTAGTTCCAGTGAAGGGAAATCTTAATGCTACATGCAATGACATTCTAGATGATTCTGTGCTTCCAACTTTTGTGGCAGGCCCTTTCCTGTTTCAGCATGGCAATGCCCCCGTGCACAAAGCGAGGTCCATGCAGAAATGATTTGTCGAGATTGGTGTGGAAGAACTTGACTGGCCTGCACAGAGCCCTGATCTTAACCCCAACGAACACCTCGCATTAGTGAGCCCTGCCCGACCTCAATAATGCTCTTGTGGCTGAATGGCCCGCAGCAATGTTCCAACATGTAGTGGAAAGCCTTCCCAGAAGAGTGGAAGCTGTTATAGCAGCAAAGGGGGGACCAACTCCATTTTAATGCCCATGTTTTTGGAATGAGATGTTCGATGAGCAGGTGTCCACATACTTTTGGTCATGTAGTGTACCTTAAAATGCTCTTTTCATCATGATTGCTGTGTGCCAGACATGCATGCAGCTATGTGTATTCAAGCATTCACAAATATAAAATGTGTTTTTTATGACTGCGAAAGAACCACTATACACACATTCCAACAGTATGGTTTCTTTTAAGAGTTAAGATTTTTTCTAAATGAACAAATCATACAAGAACAGCTATGGAATAACATGTCTTAAAAACAACAGCATTTAAAAAATGGAATGGCTATGAAGTAGAAAGTACATTCATTGCATTTGAGTAGACATTGAAACAACAATCATCACCAGAAATCCAGAATGGTAGTGCAAAAGCAGCTCTAAGCTTACCAAGAGAAATCCCTCTAGTCTATTAGAATGCATTATGCATGCTGAACAACAGCCTGCAAGATTAATTTAAGCTAACCTCCAACTCAAAGTCCATCACTGAACATAAGTCAATTTACAAGAAGTTACAGGACATTCAAACAATATCAGGAAATGTAGTTGTTCCGCACAAACACCACCAAGTGTTCCTTGGTGAGAGAGAAAGGCCCACTCCAAGTCACCACAGTATGTCACTTGACATCAAGAAAATGTTCAATGGAAGGACCTGGTGCACTTGAGGAATAGTCAACTGTTGCCACTGAAATATTGCAAGAAAATAAAACTTACTCAACCACATCGGACATGGACAGTGGGGTCAGATCAAATCTACTTTTAGATTACGATCAATGTTTAGTATTTCACAAAAAGGCAAAGGTTACAATCAAGCTTAGATAATCTGACAATTGACAGGTCTGACCCTCAATCTTAAAGACATGCTCTGGAACTTTGGCGACTAGTAAGTATTTTTTTAAACCTCCCGCTTTGGCCTGGATGTTTCAGTGTAGTTCATACATGCATAATCTATGAGCAGAATTACTGTTTCTAAACTAGACACGAAATCCCTAGTTTGAAAGCGACTGTTTACTGGATGTTGTGTGGTGCCATTTTCCCCACACGTGGGCCAGCCCCCTAGCAATTGGAGTTCTAGCCAATGAGCTTCAGCCCCTCGCCATTTGAGTGACAGCTCGCAAGATGCACACAGCAGAGCGAGAGAGAGCAATGAAGTGGTGCACATATCTGCACATACAGTATGTGACGTAGTACGCAATTTTAGGCACCACTTCTGGCTTGTGAGTGCTACTTTCAGAACTACTGGCTAAAAAGTATACAAAAGTACCGGAGAATCTCTTTTTAAAGGGGAGGTTGAGGACAGAAATTCAAGAGTATCTCAATGAGGTTCATCGTACTTTAACATTCAATAGTGTCTATTATATCATAAGACTTTACGAGATTACAGACATCAGAGCAACAGCGTGAGACACTGCAAATAACCTCTGCTCACTTTCAGCCAAAAGATGCTTTGGCATTTTTTTATCAAAGGTTTGATTTTGTCCTACATACTTAATGTCAGTCTTTAAAGTTGCATTCTTTCAGATTTTCACATAAAAAATATCCCTTATTTAAGTACAATATGCAAACTTTGTCTATGATGTAGGCCAATCTGTAGTAGTAAGGAAATAAATTCCTAGGAGAAATGACTGAGGGGTGTCTAGATAAGGGCAAAGCATTCCAATCGGAATCTGCATTCTTGGCTATTAAAGATATCATAGATCATGAAATATGAGGTCCAGGAAGATGGGGACAGTGAGATTGACTTCTGCACGAAAGGAAGAACTGAAAGGGATGAAATGAGACTCAACTAGCTTTAGCCCCTTGCATTAAACCAGAATTTTGCAGTTCAAATCATAAGCGTGAATCAAGCTTTGCCAGTTTTTTTTTACTTTGCATGCCAATAGACAGTCAGGAATGAACGAACACCTCAGAAATCCTGGATGATCCGGAAGTGGTTCTCGATGGATGCGGGCTCATCCTCAAAGTGCAGCTTCTGGCTGAGTCGGGCGCCTAGGTCCTCAAGTTTCTTGACAAAGCACCCATGCTCGCGGCCCACCCAGGCCCGCATGGGGTCACGTACCTCGTACGGTGTCACGTGGGCGTGGACCGCAACCCCGCTGGCTGCCAGTTCCCCCAGCGCCCGCTTGTCAGTCACCCAGGTCTCGCTGCCTCCCGGGTGGCCGCCGTCCAGCCAGTACATGTCTGAGAGGCGCTCCACAAATGGCCCCAGCTCCGGGTCAGCCCGCGCCCTCGCAAGCTCGTACACCATCTGGTTGAGCACCACGCAGCCTTTGCTGAAGCCCACCACGGCCAAGGAGAAACCAGGGGTGACTTTGTCGCCGCCCCCTTGAAGCGGGAGGGGGTTAGGCAAGCCAGCTTGCTCCATGCCATTGCTCAGCAGTGCCCTACAATCACAGTTACAATTCAGTCATTTGGCAGATTATCTAAAGTAATTTACAGTAAGTTGAGAGAACAGCATAAAAATAACATAGGTTGGTAGTGAGTGTTAGCGACAATCACAGTGCTAGAATAAAACATTACGAGATGGAACACCTGAGGTGGCGAAATGCTCCGTAGTCAGGTGAGTGCTCGGGCGCTCCAAACAGGTTGCTCTCCACAAAGTTGTGGTAGCAGCTGAACTTGTGCAGGTACATGCGGGAGGCTCGGATCACCCACACGTGGCGGTCAGGGAAGCGACGACCCAGGGTGAGGGCGACGTTCTCCAGGCTCCAGGACAGCCACTGCGCCCCCTCCGGCTGGAGCGACATCTCCTGCTGGAAGTTCTAGGGATGAGAGAGGGAGGAGATGGACAGAGGAACAGGGGTGTAGGATATAGATGGGAGGAGTGGGTTGTGTGGAGGTGAGAGAGGTGGGGGAAAAGGAGAGGTGGACAGAGGGGGTCAGTGAAAAGGGAAATAGACAGATGGGGGTGAGAGTGGGGGAGATAGACAGAAGAGAGGGGCCGAGGATGGAGAGAGAGAGAAAGATGGGGTGAGTCACCTGGCTTAGAGCAGCTTAAGAAGGGTTCATGTTTTTGTGCACCATGGCAACTCGATTACAACCGCATCAATTGGCAGACAAGACCTGTCATGCAGTTTGCCTAACAATGACCATAAACTAATTCTGACTGAAAATAGGCTACCCCTTCCACCAAGGCTCAAATCTGACCTCTTTCTTTGGTTCCTTGGGTAGAAGACCTAGCTTACTTCACCAGTTTTTCAACTATCCTCCTCTCAATGGTGTTCCACACATCTGGTGAAAGAGTGGTCCCTATGTGACCAGGTTGAGGGGTTTGCATACAATGAACACATTCATTAACAATCGATGAGCATCCCACTCGCAACATCCCAAGAATACAAAAAAGCCCTCGGAAATACTAAGACACACTTGGAATAATAACATTGAAGTAGGCTAGCCTGTTGGGACTCTTGGAATGAATTTAATTATTTGTGGGCATGATTATGTGAATTCGACACTCCACTTGAAATGTAAACAACCATAACTGTAACCAATTTAGCTAACAGGATTATAGGCTAGCTACACAACGGCCCTTTAACCGAATGCTTGGCATCAATTGGAATAAGTGTATAACGTTACCAAGCTGCATCATGTAATGACAAATAGCTTAAAATGTTCCTTTGATGGCGAAATAAGTGATATTCAAATGTCCTGCCTGACAACGCCCACACCTCACCTGTATGTCTCCAGGGAAAAACACAACATGTGCACTGCGTTCTTCGGAGGCCTCGGTGGCTGAACCGCACTGTCCCTGTGACTCCGAAGTACTGAGTAGAAGCAAGTCGTTGACTCGGTCCGGTTCGCATCCCGGTATGTCGACCAGTCTCCGCACTCGCGGCGGGCACCCAGGGCGTGTTTCCTGGACTCCAGGCAGACAAAGTTCTGGAGCCTGGAAGTACGATGAACCTGCTGCAGCGCTCATTGCTTTGGCTGCACAACGAAAGCCAGTTGCAACTCCACGAGCGGTTATCATGTGGGCTAAAACCGGATTACTGTAGTCTAGACGCAAATGCATAGCCAGCTAACTTTAACATACAGCATCCGAGACTGACATACGCCATCATAGACAATGAACGTGCAAAACGATGCAATACCGACAAAATAGTCAAACAACTTTCTACCTTATTTCGTTGTATATCCTCCTCAAAAACATCGTTGTTTATCCTGGACGGTGATAATTTTGTCAACCTGGGTGATGTTAATGTGGTACTGTTGTTGTCTTTGCATTGTGGTCCTCCACGTGTCGCTGTTTACAAAGGACGTCAGCACGAGAACCAGCCCGGCCTCATCCAGTTCCCGTAAGCAAAATACGAATTGCGCATGTTCACATATTTTTATAGTTCTTAAATTGAAGCAAAGACAGTACAGTATGAAGATGGGCAGAAGCTGCTTCTCCAATAGAAATCCCCGATCACGCTTGTAGTAGGCGATGTCATGGTGACTTTGGCTAGCTAAGCTCATGCGCAGAAACACGTAATCGGGTCTAAACTGTCGTCTCGCGCCGAACTGCGCATGTGCATGTGCAAATCAAAGGCAGTCCTTCAAAAAGTTGTTTTTGATGGAAATGACAACGTGTCAGTTTGTCACTTTCATGAGGTTGGCGACTCGACTCTAGGTTGTGCTTTTAGATTTCGAGAAAATGAACAACTAAGGAAGAATTTGTCACTTCTCTAATTGACTTCTGAAACCCCAAACCCTGGCCTGGTCTGTTTCGCATGCTTTCGCGATGTTGCCTCTGTGCTTGAAGGTTGAGTTTACCACGGAGTTTCTAAACCCAGAGGTACAACGTCACAAGAGACTTCCGGGAACGCTTGCGAAGCAGACCAGGCCGGGGTTTGCGGTTTGAGAAGTCAATGAGAGAAGTGAAAAAATCTTCCTTAGTTGTTAATTTTCTCGAAATCTAAAGGCACAACTTAGATTCGAGCCAATGTCTTAAATACTTGAACATGTTATTACTCAAACCTCGTGAAAGTGACAAACTGACACGTTTTCATCAAAAACTTGTATATCGAAGGAGTGCCTTTGAGTTGACGGCCTGCACATGCGCAGTTTGGCGCGAAACGACCATTAGCCCCCGATGACGTGTTTTTGTGCATGAGCTTAGCTAGCCAACGTCGCCATTACATTGCTTACAAGTGTGATCGGGGATTTCTATGGTTTCCACTAGTTACCACAGCCACGAAGTCAAAATTGTCTATATTGTAAAAATTAATGTGATCAAAAATTAGCTTTTTGGTATTAATTTAAGGTTAGGTTTTAAATCCAATTTTAAGCAGAGAATTGTAGAAATGGGCGGTGTTTATGACTTTGGTAACTAGCGACGACTGATTTCTATTGGATAAGCAGTTTCTGTCTATCATACATTTACATTTTAGTCATTTAGCAGACGCTCTTATCGACAGCGATTTACAGGAGCAATTAGGGTTAAGTGCCTTGCTCAAGGGCACATCGACAGATTTTTCACCTAGTCGGCTCGGGGATTAGAACCAGCGACCTTTCGATTACTGGCACAATGCTCTTAACCACTAAGCTACCTGCCGCCCATTCTCATCGATTAAACATCTGATCTCAACACATTCTTCTGTTCCCAAACACAGTGCACTAACTTTTACAGACTTGAGGCTTTGCCAAAGTATTATTATTATTTTTTATTTTTTTATGCGTCGCTTAGGAGTGCAAGGTCGAATCGAGTTTGTGCACATGCCTACTTCTGAGGAGGCGTTCTTCATATACTGTACGTTCTTTGGTTTTTATCTTTAGGGGATGTTGAAGTTTCAATAATAATAATATACCATTTAGCAGACGCTTTTATCCAAAGCGACTTACAGTCATGTGTACATACATTTTTACATATGGGTGGTCCCGGGGATCAAACCCACTACCCTGGCGTTACAAGTTCCATGCTCTATTAATTGAGCTACAGAGGACCACAATTAGCAAGGCAGAGGCAAAAAGACTGATATATACAGTGATGGTGCAGAGATGGAGAGAGGAGGACGGCAGGAAGGGACAGAAGAGAGGAGGCTATTTTTACAAGATTAAGGGTGGGACACAGCCAGTTGAATAAGACATGTGATGGGAAAGCATCCAACAGGAAAGTGTGATTATTGTCAGGAAACAGAGACCGTGGAGCATGTATTCCTACAGTGTGGGCAGTATCAGGGGGAAAGAGAGATGATGAGATCTAGTATGAGGGAGAAGGGGATACAGGAAATTAGTTTATTGAGTAGAACGTCATTAGATGTAGTCTCAAATATTTTGTTATCTTTTTTTAAGAGCAACGGGGCTGGCAGGTAGGATTTAGTTTCTCCCTGTCTCTGGCCCACACTCCAGTACAGTAGGCGGCGGTAATGCACCATAACGTTGGATGCCAACCGCCGATAAACCCCACTGAAGAAGAAGAAGAAGAAGAAAAGAAGAAGAACAAGAAGTTTTACCTTTGTATGATTTTGCAAATGGTATACATTTTTCGCTTTACACTAGACACGTGATCGACTGAAAGCGTTGTCAATTTTCGTGGTTATTAGAACGCAAGTATGACATAATGTCTACATATCAACCCCGCACACGAGAGATGTTTAGCATGTCATGTTTTATATGTTCATTAATGCATTTATGAACTGTGCTTGCTTTCTCGTCTTGTGTAACTGCATTGACCATGTTTGGACTTTTAGCATATCGGTTGATGACAACATTCAAAGTTTCAAGTGGGATATTCCTTTGAGACGAATACGTTTGTAATTTTTTAAACAAAATAATAATAATAATTGTACTCCATGTTTATGTTTGCTATGTTGTTTATGTTATGATGGCGAGATATCCCCTACTTTCTGATCACTGAGCTGCAGTTTGCTACAGAATGTTGTAGACATATTGACATTTTTGGGATGAAAATGTTAAATTTCTCCATTAAGTTGTATTTAAATGGAGTAAGACAGGTTATCCCAAAGTGAACACTTTTCAAGCATCAGAATATAGTAGAGACCCAAGGAAATACAGTACAGTTGTCAAATAAATGGTGCTTAGCTACAATTGTACCTGGTGAAATGGACCACTGCAAATTCAGCCTACCTAAAGTTCAGTGACATGGGTTCCTTCAGGGGGATGGCTCATAGTGCCATGGGCCAGCGTCTGGTCGCCTGCCTCCTCAATGTCTCAGAAGCCCGCAGGAAGGAATTGGTGGAAACAGTGGCCAGGGCAGCTGTATTTGACAGTAATGGTGAGTTACCCCTGTAAAAATGTTACATTGTTCACTGCTTATACAGTAGTAACATAGTGATATGAGTGAACAATAGTTAGTATTTAACAAAATAGGATGGTTTCTTCATGGATTTATGCATCTTTCCCATTGTATGCATCTTGTCAGGCGGACGGCGAGAAGGGACAACAGTGCTCAACATCTTTAATGACCAAGACTACAACCGCTCTGTCATCACCATCGTGGCCAGTATTGACTGCATCAGTGAGTCTCTGTCCTTTTATTGGGGAAAAACAACAACTACACTAAGGGACATTTCCTACAGGCTTTGTTCAGGATCACAATGTTACAATAAATATGACAAGTACTTTGCAACGGTCTTCATTATCCTCCAACAATCTTTTACTCTTATGAGGGGCAGTGGTAACCCCTGAACATGGCTGCTTAAACATTTTTCAAGCAGACCAGGAACTAAGCACCCTAATTTAACCAATAACTGAACCCTGATTTCACTTGTGTCATTCCAATAATAGAAGGCGTTGTCAATGTTTTTCTGTTGTAGGGGAGGCAGTGCTGTCTGCGTGTGAGCAGGCCTGTGGGCTGATTGACATGAGTGCCTATGCAGGGGGCCACCCAACAATGGGCGCTGTGGACCTGGTGCCCCTCTACCCTCTGGGAGAGGAGGTGGGACTGGGGGACTGTGCCAAGGAAGCTAGAGGTGTGTGTGTGCCTGTATGCATGTGTGTACACTTTAAGGATTTGGCCCCCTCTTTCTCTCTTCTCAGTCATTATGCTGTATGCTGTATACATGTGCATTGTGTATGTACAGAGCCTTCAGAAAGTATTCATGCCTCTTGACTTATTCCACATTTTGTTGTGTTACAGCCTGAATTCAAAATTGATTCAATATGTTTTTTCTCACCCATTTACACACAATACCCGATAATGAGAAAGTGAAAACATATTTTTGCGAATTTATTGAAAATTAAATACAGAAATATCTCATTTACATAAGTATTCACACCCCTGAGTCAATACTTTGTAGGAGCACCTTTAGCAGCAATTACAGCTGTAAGTCTCGCCTTGTTCACACTGCAGGCCTTAATGCTCAAATCAGTTTGTTTTGGAATATTGACTTCCCAAACAGCAATTTACAAGTGACCAAATCGGATTTGTGTGTGAGACAGCAGTCATTTGCTGACATGTCTACGCTAGTTGTCATAGTAACGGCGGGTGTGTGAGCAGTGGTGTAGGCTGATTGGTGGTGGTGCTCCTGCTTCCTATCACTCAGAAGCTATGTAGCAAGATAAAGTGACAACAATGCCTGCCATGGATGTTTCCCAGTTGCTTTGAATGTTCAAAATCATAGTGTAAGAACACCTTTAAAGCCTCAAAGGATCAAATTATCCAACTTTTAAAACAAGTCATTTTTGGCTAGCTACTGCAGTCAATTAGCTAGCTAAGATGGCTGTTTAGTTTCTAGCACATTCACTAATTTGTTTGTAAACAATTAACAAGCTAATTGGCTACCACATATTCTTGTCAAACTGTCAACAGAGTAGCTAGCAAGCAACAAGATATGCCAAATAACTTAGTGCCTTGTTGCAAACAGGATGCATGTTTTGGAATATTTTTGATTCTGTACAGGTTTCCTTCTATTCACTCTGTCAAATACATTAGTATTGTGGATTAACTACAATGTTGTTGATCCATCCTCAATTTTCTCATATCACAGCCATTAAACTCTGTAACTGTTTTAAAGTCACCATTGGCCTCATGGTGAAATCCCTAAGCAGTTTCCTTCCTCTCCGGCAACTGAGTTAGGAAGGACGCCTGTATCTTTGTAGTGACTGGGTGTACTGATACACCATCCAGAGTGTAATTAATAACTTCACCATGCTCAAAGGGATATTAAATGTCTGCTTTTTTTTTTTACCCATCAACCAATGGTTGCCCTTCTTTGCGATGCATTGGAAAACCTCCCTGGTCTTTGATGTTGAATCTGTGATTGAAATTCACTGCTTGACTGAGGGACCTTACAGATAATTGTATGTGTGAGGTACAGAGATGAGGCACTCATTCAAAAATCATGTTAAACACTGTTATTGTACATGCAACTTATTATGTGACTTATTAAGCAAATGTTTACTCCTGAACTTATTTAGGCTTGCCATAACAAAGGGGTTGAATACTTTATTTTATTTTATTATTTTTATTTTATTTTATTTTTAGGGGTTGAATACCTATTGACTCAAGACATTTCAGCTTTTCATTTTTAATTAATTTATAAAAACATAATTCCACTTTGACATTATGAGGTATTGTGTGTCCAATCCATTTTAAATTCAGGCTGTAACACAACATGTGGAAAAAGTCAAGGGGTGTGAATACTTTCTGAAGGCACTGTATGTAAGGTATGTGTTAACCCATCCTCTCACCCTGTCCAGCGGTGGCTGCTGGGCTGACTGAACGGGTCAGTGGCACCAGTGCTTTCTTCTTTGGCTGGGCGGACTTACCCCAGCACCGAGGCCTGGCGCAGAGACGCAAGGAGATGGGCTGGTTCAGGAAGAATCCAGACACAGGAGCCAGCCGACCAGACATGGGGCCCCTGCCACAGAAACGATATGGCCTCACAGGTTAGCACCCGCTTAGGGCTTAGCGGATGTCCTGTGCACGCAAATACTGAGATATCATGGGATGAAATGCAAGGTGATTTTTAAAACATAGGGTTAGGTTAGATTTGCATGTTTCATTCTGATGACAAGCCCTCAGTGCCCCCACATTACACTCTCATGAAGCATAGCACAGAGAGAGGGTACCCAGTAACCACTAATTGGGCACATTTGTAAATAACTGCATCTCAGTACCCTTTTGTTCACACCATCTTGTGACTTTTTGTTTAATCTTCTGACCTTTGACCTCACCTTTGCCATGCAGGTATCGGAGCTAGTCCCTACGTCATGAACTGCAACGTCACCATCGACACCCAGGACCTGGCTCTGGGGCGCAGTGTAGCCATGGCGATTAGGGAGTCTACTCCTGGGGGCCTACCAGGGGTGCAAGTGCTGGCCCTGCCACATGAGGGTGCCGTGGAGATAGCCTGCAATGTGGAGAGCATAAAGGGGAACCCTCCTAGCCAGGTTGGGGAGAGGGAAGAGCCATGGCCCACCTTCAGTATTGGTGGGCAGCTATACTGCCATGCCCCGGCATCTCTTATCACAGCCAGGGTGGCAGAGCTGGCAGGACGGCAGGGGGTGGCCACTAAGGGCACGGCACTGGTGGGGTTCACGCCCCGTGAGTGCAGAGTCCTGGCAGAGAGAGCTTTGTCATTGGGCATTGCAGAGTTCTGGAAAGAACGGAGCAGGGTACACATGTAACCTTCCAAACTTTACTACAAAACCTCAACGGTTTGTATTATTCAGGTTGATTGAACGAATAATGTAAAAGGACATGCAAGCTGTTATCAGCAAGGTTTACAGCGTATGAATTGCACAAATGCACGACTATTACACAACAGTTTTGAATCTGTGGGCTCTGGATTTGATGTAGCACATCTGAACAAGGATATTGTACAGAGCATCTTATTTAGTGTGGTGATCATGGTTGAAAACATCAACGCCATAGACCTTAACTGTGATTGTCTTAATATAAGTACTTATCAAGACTCAAAATGGCCAAATTACCTTTTTACTTTTTTGTAAATCATTCAACGATGTCAATGGGAGACGTGCGCAAATTTCTTTGATAAGCGTGCATATCTCAATTCAGAATAACACCGAAAGTGCTGCAAAATGTTGCAATTTATTGCTCTATTAACAGGTTAATCCTTCTTTATTTGACTTCTACTAATCTGTAAAGAATAAACATGATGACTTTACTATAACTTTACTATTTTCGTATAATTGTTTATAATTGTACAAAAAAGAATAATGAAATATATTAAAGGTGCATTCTGTAACATTCTCATGTTCAAAACTCTAAAACTACCATTAACATTGGACTCAATGAGAGTAAAAAAAATAACTGTGTAGACCAAGGTGTGTACACAGCTCGCGTTGTAAGACGTGGTCTAGTGTCTGCCAGGAAAGTTCTGGCCACCTTCAGACAAACAAACGAGCACACTGTTTGGCATGGTATAGTCCTTCGCAGAGATGTGTCAAAACGCATAGACATTTGTCTGTTTATGTTATTGCCTTTTGTGATTGGATTTAATATTACCAGGTTGATGGAAATGGCTCACTCCCAAAGTGGTCAATGACAGGGTTACATTTAGGGGTGGTGCTTAAGCCATTCTACATAATATATTCTAATGTCCAGCACACTATTTTGGGGAATAGTTTTTGCATGCTCTTTCACTATACATTCAACTAATTACAATATGTATGCCAATTCAATTCATCTATACTGAACAAAAATATAAACACAACGTAAAGTGTTGGTCCCATGTTTCATGAGCTGAAATAAAAGATTGCAGAAATGTTCCATACGCACAAAAATATTATTTCTCTCATATTTTGGGCACACGTGTGTTTACATCCCTGTTAATGAGCATTTCTCCTTTGCCAAGATAATCCATCCACCTGACAGGTGTGGCATATCAAGAAGCTGATTAAACAGCATGATCATTACACAGGTGCAGCTTGTGCTGGGGACAATAAAAGGCCACTCTAAATTGTGCAGTTTTGTCACACAACACAATGTCACAGATGTCTCAGGTTTTGTGGGAGCGTGCAATTTGCATGCTGACTGCAGGAATGTCCACCAGAGCTGTTGCCAGAGAATTTCTCTACCATAAGCCACCTCAAACATCGCTTTAGAGAATTTGGCAGTACGTCCAACCTGCCTCACAACCGCAGACCACGTGTATGGCGTTGTGTGGGCGAGTGGTTTGCTGATGTCAACGTTATGAACAGAGTGCCCCATGGTGGCGGTGGGGTTATGGAATGGGCAGGTATAAGCTACAGACAATGAACACAGTTGCATTTTATCGATAGCAATTTGAATGCACAAAAATACTGTGACGAGATCCTGAGGTCCATTGTGAGGCCCATTTATGGTATTGGTATTAAGGTATTGACCAACAGATGCATGCATATCTGTATTCCCAGTCATGTAAAATCCATAAATTAGGGCCTAATGAATTTATTTCAAATCTATGAAATTGTTGCATGTTGTGTTTATAATCTTTGTTCAGTATAGCTTGGCTACAAGAGTGATATGTACTGTATGCACCCTGTCTAGCCTGTGTGTGTGTGATGTCACTGAGACTAAACACGTGACTTCCGTCTCGCTTCCGCATTGTCTCCGTGCTGCTGTGCTGTTTGTTGCTACTTGGCTCCCTGCCAAACTATTCACGTTTTACTTTTAATAAACGTTTAATCAATCTCTGTGTTCAACAAATTTACCAACTTTTTAGTTTTGTCCTCACTCATCTTTTTTCGTTAAACTTTTTCACCCCGGACGTTTATCCCGAGACAGAAGAGTCATTTTCCTGTGCGTTTTAGCTGCCAACTTTACGTTATTTTCCTTTTTTCCATCGCAACTTTTTTCCCTTATTCAACTTTTTCACTCCGGACGCTTTATCTGGACATGGTTCATCAACATCTTCAACAGCCGAAGCTAAGTAGTAACATTAACATGATGTCTTCTAATTGCAGTCGCTGTACTCATAATATACAGGAGAATTCTCGCCTTACGGCGAGAATAGCTGTGCTACAAGCCCAGCTTCAGACGCAATCGTTAGGCAAGGGTAATATCAGTGTAGGAAAGGAAAGAAAACAGCGTCTGTGCCACCAGTAAGTACAGACAGTAACGTTAGTATAAATCCCCCCGCACAGTCCCCGCAGCCGGACAACTTTCTCATGGTATTTCTGGAGGGTAAATACTGTTGGATGCCTCAACCGGTGTCGCTCAATTCAGCCGACAGAAACCTTCAACCGGTTTTTCCCCAGTATGTAGGCGAGTCGAGTCTGGTCTGATGTCCTCTCTAGTCTCTACTCCTCCCGTTACGGGGTCTGAGACTCCGAAGGCTCCACCATGCTCTGACAAATTGATTCCGGGGTGGTGGGGCGGTGGGGAGTGGGGTGGATAGGGGCTGTGGTGTCTGGTGGTGGGGCGAACGGTCGCGCGCCTGCTCTAGGGGGGTGTGGTGGCGGCGGGGAAAAAGTGTGTGGAAGAAGCGACGGAGGGTCCAGGTTGGCGAAGCCAGACCCGTCCGGATAGAGCGGAAAAAAAACTGACCGAATAGCGGCCTCAGTCGAGGTCGGAGGGCCACGGGGGTTATCCGGGTCAAGGGGCGGTCTGCGGTTTGTTAGGCTTTTGTGTTTTTCATCAGCTTGGCGGGTGTAATGCTTGACTGAATGAGAAGAGGGTGTGCGGGGTGGGTCTGGTGGGTGTTAGTGTAGGGAGGCTAAAGCGCGGGAGAAAGAGATCAGTGCACAACGGATGGGGAGACACTACGGAGGCGGGGACCATTAGCAGTTTGTGTTGGCCGGAGGACTGATCTCCAGGGTTTGGTGGGAAAGTTTTGTATGGGTCTTGGGGCTGGCGGGGTGCGGGGTGAAGGGGGGTGGTGGCAGGGGAGGTTATGGGGCAGTGACTCAGGCGGGGAAATCGGGGTGTCGTAAAGGAGGGGTTGGTGGGGTGTCGGGCATCGGAGTCCTTGGCGCTGGCCCCCTCCCGTTGCTGTGGGGAAGGGGACGACATACATTGCAGAGTGGTCTTCAGCAGCGGAAAAAGTGTTCGCGCGGTGGAAAACGGCGGTTGTGTTTTCGGCGGCCCGCCAGTGTTGAAGAGAAAGATAATCATTTGTGGATCATTGGGAGAAATAGCCTTCTATCGGGACTGCACCCACAAACAGGACCAAGCCTGACCTGCTGGAGGAGTGACGCGACGCCATCCTTAGCTTGTGTGTTTTGTGGTGTGTGGCTGGCTTGTCTTAGCTCCAACTATAGAGAGCGCGAAGGCTTTGATCTTTCTCTAGCCCACATGAGCAGGGTCTTGGGGTTTTGGCAGGTGCCAGGGGGGTGCATGCGTCATTTTTGCTTGGGGTCGTGTTGTGAGGGCGGTACCAACTGCCAGCTTTGTGCAGTGGGATGGGGGCGTGGGGGGTGGGGGTGGTGTGTGCGCAAGAGGGTCTGCATTGGGGGTTTGGTTGGGTGGTTTGGAGCATGGGTAGGCTGGAGGGTTTGCGTGGCAAGCCAGGACTGACAATGTAGCGACGGGGGGTCGGGGCCCGTAGGCACCTAGGTGGGTGGTTGGGGTGGGGTGGGGCAATAACGTGCGACTGGACAGGAGTGGGGGTGGTTGGGGGCGGGAGCGGGGGGTGTGTGTCAAGTTTGGGGGTTGGGGGTGCGCGTGTTGTGTTGCTGGACCGATGTGCTCCTGGTAGGAGGTCGGACAGTAAGACGCGGCGACTGCAGGATTCCGGGGTGGGGGGGGGGGGGCAGTGAGGGTGGGGAAAAGAAGCGGGGGCTACCGCACACGCAAAATAGGGGGCGGAAGGGGAGAGACTCGCACGGCAAAGCGGCGAAGTCTGTAGAGTTTGGACAATCACTGATCATAATCTTGATGTGATTGGCCTGACTGAAACATGGCTTAAGCCTGATGAATTTGCTGTGTTAAATGAGGCCTCACCTCCTGGTTACACTAGTGACCATATTCCCTGTGCATCCCGCAAAGGCGGAGGTGTTGCTAACATTTACGATAGCAAATTTCAATTTACAAAAAAAAAAATGGCGTTTTCATCTTTTGAGCTTCTAGTCATGAAATCTATGCAGCCTACTCAATCACTTTTTATAGCTACTGTTTACAGGCCTCCTGGGCCATATACAGCGTTCCTCTCTGAGTTTCCTGAATTTCTATCAGACCTTGTAGTCATAGCAGATCATATTCAAATTTTTGGTGATTTTAATATTCACATGGAGAAGTCCACAGACCCACTCCAAAAGTCTTTCGGAGCCATTATCGACTCAGTGGGTTTTGTCCAACATGTCTCTGGACCTACTCACTGCCACAGTCATACTCTGGACCTAGTTTTGTCCCATGGAATAAATGTTGTAGATCTTAATGTTTTTCCACAAAATCCTGGACTATCGGACCACCATTTTATTACGTTTGCAATCGCAACAAATAATCTGCTCAGACCCCAACCAAGGAGCATCAAAAGTCGTGCTATAAATTCTCAGACAACACAAAAATTCATTGATGCCCTTCCAGACTCCTTCTGCCTACCCAAGGACGTCAGAGGACAAAAATCAGTTAACCACTTAACTGAGGAACTCAATTTAACCTTGCGCAATACCCTAGATGCAGTTGCACCCCTAAAAACGAAAAACATTTGTCATAAGAAACTAGCTCCCTGGTATACAGAAAATACCCGAGCTTTGAAGCAAGCTTCCAGGAAATTGGAACGGAAATGGTGCCACACCAAACTGGAAGTCTTCCGACTAGCTTGGAAAGACAGTACCGTGCAGTACCGAAGAGTCCTCACTGCTGCTCGATCATCCTACTTTTCCAACTTAATTGAGGAAAATAAGAACAATCCAAAATTTCTTTTTGATACTGTTGCAAAGCTAACTAAAAAGCAGCATTCCCCAAGAGAGGATGGCTTTCACTTCAGCAGTGATAAATTCATGAACTTCTTTGAGGAAAAGATCATGACCATTAGAAAGCAAATTACGGACTCCTCTTTGAATCTGCGTATTCCTCCAGGGCTTAGCTGTCCTGGATCTGCACAGCTCTGCGAGGGCCTGGGATCGGGAGAGACACTTAAGTGTTTTAGTACTATATCTCTTGACACAATGATGAAAATAATCATGGCCTCTAAACCTTCAAGCTGCATACTGGATCCTATTCCTACTAAACTGCTGAAGGAGCTGCTTCCTGTGCTTGGCCCTCCTATGTTGAACATAATAAACAGCTCTCTATCCACCGGATGTGTACCAAACTCACTAAAAGTGGCAGTGATAAAGCCTCTCTTGAAAAAGCCAAACCTTGACCCGGAAAATATAAAAAACTATCGGCCTATATCGAATCTTCCATTCCTCTCAAAAATTTTAGAAAAAGCTGTTGCCCCCAGCAACTCACTGCCTTTCTGAAGACAAACAATGTATACGAAATGCTTCAGTCTGGTTTTAGACCCCATCATAGCACTGAGACTGCACTTGTGAAGGTGGTAAATGACCTTTTAATGGCGTCAGACCGAGGCTCTGCATCTGTCCTCGTGCTACTAGACCTTAGTGCTGCCTTTGACACCATCGATCACCACATTCTTTTGGAGAGACTGGAAACCCAAATTGGTCTACACGGACAAGTTCTGGCCTGGTTTAGATCCTACCTGTCGGAAAGATATCAGTTTGTCTCTGTGAATGGTCTGTCCTCCGACAAATCAACTGTACATTTCGGTGTTCCTCAAGGTT